AAGTTTCCCGGAGAATCGAGAAAGGAAGAGTACTGTAAGTGCTCGCTTTTCCTTTCTACCCCATCTTAGACCCTATGAATAAGGCATCTGGTTGGGATATTTAAGAATTTTTTGTTTTCTTTGAATTTTGAATGAACAACATCGACGATTTATTTCAAGCGATAAACGAAATAACGATCGAAGCAAACAAAATGGCTCAAACTGAAGCAAAAATAAATTGGGATTTACTAAAAAGTAAACTAGATAATATCAAACCTTACGATGGAGACGTAAATAGTTTAAACAAATTCGTAAAAAGATGTGACAATGTAATAGCCACATATCGCGAATTCAATGATTCCGATCTAGATCAACACATCTATGAGATTAATTGGTAGAGCAGAATCTATGGTAGGCAATAGAGCTGAACTAGATACCTGGCCTAAACTAAAACAAGCTCTGTTACAATGCTGTGCTGATCGTAGAGACTTAGACTGTTTAGTCCAAGAACTCACGAGAACGCGTCCAAACCAAAAATGAACATTTGATTGACTTTGGAAGGCCCAACAGGAAAAACATACCTAATAGAAATTAACATTTCTTCTACGAACGCCCTTCCCTATGTTGAAATCGAAAACCCTAAGCTGAAACTTCTTATAGACACAGGAAGTTCACGATCCATTCTCAACCCCTCAATTGCAGAAAACTATTTTCCAAACCACATATATCACACAACCAACACAATCAAAACCGCAATTGGTAGCAAAAATACACGTTTTGAAGCCGAAATTCCCGCATTCCCAGAATTTTGTTCCAACAGCAATATCAGCTTCATCCTTTTCAACTTTCATGATTTCTTTGACGGAGTTTTAGGATTAACCGATCTACCAAAAATGAAGTTTAATATCGATCTAACGAACAAAAAACTTGTAGGAAAAGACACCAGCATTCCATTCAAGTACAGAACACGAAATGACGTAAATTTTTCAATAACTCTAAACCCCCATGAAAGATTAATAAAGAACGTACCCGTGAATATACTTGAAGGCGAAATTCTAACGAAGCCATCAAAAATAAATAACAAACTCTTTGTCCCACAAATTTTAACACAAGCTTCAGAAGGATTTGCTCCTATTGAAATTCAAAACAATACCGATGAATTTGTAACTTTCACTTTGAATGAACCATTTCCAGTTTTTTTCCAAGAAAGGCAAGAACAACCAAGCAGCAGATGCTCTCTCAAGAAACCCAGTGGAGACAAACATGTTTGAAAATGAATCAATAGCCAATAACTTAGGCGATGCAGACAAAATAAAATTTTTCTAGAACACCCAGAAACTTTACCAGATATAGACAAAATGACACTAGAAGAAATACTACAACCAGTTATTTCAACAGAAAAACCAAAAATAAACATCATGAGCGATATCCAAATCAAACCACCCTCAATACAACAACACGATGAATCAGACTTGGATACAGTGCATTCATCAGCCGAAAACCCTAGTCTGGAAATACCAATTTCAGAAAGACCCGTCAACCAATATAAAAATCAGATTATTATCACTGATGGAGACATCCAGAAATTTCAAATCAAACGACAAAAAGTTTTCGAAAACAACCGACTCTACGTAACCATATCAAACACAGATCCAGTTTCACACATAATAGGCGTATTAAAAGAATACATCAACCCCAAGAATGTATACGCATTTCAAGAATCCCAACATTTCTAGAATCTTCTGTGTTACACTTCAAAATTTCTTCAAGAACTCAGCCTATAATATTGTTCATTGTCCAAACATACTAAATGACATTGAAACAGAGGAAGAACCAAAAAGAAAAACTTCAAATTTACCACACCACCAAAAGCTGTCATCGAGGAATTACCGAAATGAAAACTTCAATCACACAGAAATTCTATTGGCCAAAAATAGCGCAAGACATAGAAAACTATGTTAATAATTGCGAAGTATGCCAAAAAAACAAGTACGACAGAAACCCACCTGTAATAAAATTCAACTTAACACCAACAGCATCTAAACCCTTTGAGCATATTCATGTCGATACTTTTAGATTAAATCATGATGCTTTTGAAACAATTATCGACTCTTTCTCACGATATGGACAAGTCTACCCTTTAAAAAGCATAACCGGCATTGAAGTTGTTGAAAATATCTTCAATTTCATAATTCATCACGGATTACCGTTAAAGATTACCGCATATCAAGGAACAGAATTTAAAAATAAAGACCTCGAAGACTTTTGCAACCTCTACAAAATCGAATTGCATTATACAACATCACAAAATAGCAACTCACTCACCCGTAGAGAGATTTCACTCCTCAATAATAGAAGCCTATAGATGCTTGCAAGAAGACAATAAGGAATTGAGCATAAACCAAATAATGAAACGAGCAGTCCTTGGCTATAATAACCCATCATTTACAGCAAACATACATTTATTCATTATATAGATTTAAAACCTTTAGTTAAGCAAGTTACAAGACTAAAGCAATACTTAAAAACCATAAGAAAGTATTTTAAACATTTGACAGAAATGAATCAAAATATTCTTTTGAGAACGGAATATCTAGTCCAGACAGCCTCAGAGAAATTCGAGAATTTACATCCACACATTCGTAAAGAACGAGGTT